TCGTTTGTATGCGCTGCTCAAGAAGCGCGGTGTGGTGCCTGCCTCACCACCTGCCTCACAGCAGGTCGAGCTTGTGCCAGAGACCGCCGCGCAGCAAGCGCACGATCTGTACAAGGACGAAGATATCAAGCGTGTCAAACCGATGGGGCTCGATCGCAAGCTTTCTACGAAGGCGAAGGTGCCGCACATGTCCACTGTCGTTGGCAGCCCTTCGGGACAGCACACGCACACGAGTTCTATCCAGCAAAGGGCGTCCCCGACCGAGATCGCGACACAGCAAGCCGAGTCGCGGCCGTCTCTTCAGCAGCCAAGGAGCCCTTCGCCAGGACGTTGGGATGGCCAGCAAAATCAATATGGACCGGGACGGTCTTCTCCGCACAAGAAGCTTTCTTCTTCCCCGGGTACTTCGTCGAGAGACCCTTCGCCCAGCAGGCAACCAGGCGTCCAGACGGGGCAAGCCCAAGGCGGTCGACCACCCGCACCTGCAAATCAGCCGCCACCTGTGCCAGCCCAGCAGCATCAGCTCCTGTCACAACAGCAGTACCGGCAGCCACATGCACCTGGCGCAATCGTACCGATCAGGCCAGCTTTTGCTCGGCACAACACCGATGTGCGGATTCGAGACGATGGACCTCTGCGCCAGCCGTCTGGCGACGAGGTTGAACCGCACGCGCTGGATGCAGTCACCTTGGCAGACATTCCACAGTTGCTGGAGGCGGAGCAGTTGCGGGAGCAGCGGAGAGCTCTGCCAGAGGGCGTTCGAAGCATTGCTGAGCTCTCTGCGCTTGAGCTGTTCATCGTGAAGCACATGGCGGTCATGATGCTACAGCAAAGCGCACTGAAGGACCTGGTCAATTTGGATGATCTTGTCGACGTCATTGACATGCGCAAAAACACCTTCTGGGGTAAGCTCTTCAAGGGAGGCAAAGACGACAAGAAAGTCAAGAAGAAGGGCGTTTTCGCCATTCCTCTGGAGATCCTCGTCGAGCGGAGTGGCGCTGACTCCACGCTCGGAGCTTCTGCCTCTCAGCTGCGTATTCCTTCCTTCGTCGATGATATCGTCTCCGCGATGCGCCAGATGGACATGTCTATTGAAGGCATCTTCCGAAAGAATGGCAACATCCGACGCTTGGCGACGAGTGCCGAGGCATTGGACAGGGATAGTGCCCAAGTCAATCTTTCAGACGACAATCCAGTGCAGCTTGCAGCTCTTCTGAAGAAGTTCCTGCGCGAGTTGCCCGACCCCCTCTTGACTTTCAAGCTTCACAGGTTGTTCGTCATGTCTCAGAAGCTAGAGCCGGAATCGGAACGTCACCGCATCATGCATTTGATCACAGTGCTTCTGCCAAAGCCGCACAGAGATACGATGGAAGTTCTGTTCGTCTTCTTGAAGTGGGTCGCTTCCTTCTCTCACATCGATGAGGAGACGGGTAGCAAGATGGATTTGCAAAACTTGGCGACCGTGCTGGGCCCGAATATCCTGTACTCCAAAGGAACGGACCCAGCCAAGGACGAGACGTTCTTGGCCAACCGAGCTGTCCTCGATCTACTCGAGCACCAGGACGACTACTGGCTAGTGCCCCCAGGTCTGGATGTTGCTCTCCAAGACCGCGACCTGCTCAACAGCTCTGCCGAGTTGACGTCGAGGGATATTCTCAAGAAGTGTGAGAAGCACGCCAAGAGGGTGAGAGCGACGACAGTATCGACGCCGCAGTACACTCGACCGGTCGCTGTTCCAGCTCAAGGCTCGAATCGATGGGGCGATAGCGACTCTCATCGGCACCAGCC